CTAACTTCCATCGAAGCCTACTGGTCAGAATCGCCATCTCTATTTCTAGTGCTTGCACAAAGACCTGCTACAGAAGCTTCAAGCGTTGTGATCAAGGCTTCCGATGCCTACGTAGAAGTCCCCATCTCATGTTGCTGCCAAGCCACTGGCACCAATTCCCATTATCTGAGAAGTCACTGGCAGCAATGCAGTATTCATTATGGCGAAGTGGTTCTGTGCTGTGACTAAGTCAGGAACCCCAAGGTGGGGGATGGTGGTAGGTAACCCTGTGTGCAGAACCAGCTGACCAAAAGCCTGGGCTGTGACTAGAGGTGTGGCCCAGATTGCAGTGTTTACCAAGCTAAACAGGCTGAAGCCAGATCAGCATATCAAAAATGGCTCAAGGCACAAGGAGCATTTAGCTATGAACCCCAGCAAGTCAGGGCTGAAAGCATTAATTATGGACAAGGTTCATTAATTAAGAACAGAAAAAAAGCGAACCTGCAGGAAGTCCATGAATCGGAGTCCTGAGCTTGGGACAGCTTTGAAGTTCGTGCCTATTGCCAGTGGTCTTGCCCTCACCCTCAAGGCTGGCATAAAGCCACGAGGCCCCGTCTCCCCTGTGTGTTTCAAGGGACGTTATGGCTCATTTTAATGTGGAAAGTTCCCACAAAGTTGGCAAGGCCCAGACTCTGTCTCTTACAGGCAAGGAAGCTTCAACAATTTTATATTAGTTTAGGTGCCCCAGAAGAAAACTCTGAGGCAAAGATTCAAGATTAACATGGGTCTTAACCTCAGGAAGCAGGTGGAGACTGGGGAAGTGAGACTGGGAAGGGAAGGAAAGTTAACACAGGGTACTTGTCAAGCTAGTTACTAGTGTGAGCAATTGGAGCCTAATTCCACAGAGAAAACTCTGGGGAATGGTGCAGGACACATGTCCCAGAGGCGGGGGGCTGGAGTATTTAGGGGTGCTTATACAGCAAACCAGTCCATCATTGTTGATGGTTACTAGGAGAGCGGGTGTTAATTACTTTAGGGACCAATACAGACAGACAGATACTGGTCGATCAAGCTTTTGTTTATTGGTCAGATATCTAGGTGTCCCCTTCTGTGAATTGTGCATTCATATCCCTTGGCCACTTTTCTGCTGTGTTCTCTAACTTTTTCTTATTGATTTGTAGGAGTTATTTATGTATCCAGATGCTAATTTTTTATTTATTAATTTTTATTTTCGAAAATCATACATTACTTTTCCCAGATGTTAATCTTTTTTGTATTATATCTGCGGCCAGTATTTTCCAAATTATAGTTCATCTTTTCACTTTCTTTATGGTATAATTCAATAAACTGTTCTTATTTTTAATGTTAGTGAATTTAACAATCTTTTTCTTATAGTCTGTGCCTTTTGTATCTTAAGAAATTCTTTCCTACCTTAAGGTAACAGAGATGATAATTTACTAGACACTTTTGCTTTTTACAGATAGTCTTTAAGCCACCCAGAAATCATTTATATAGTGATGCAATACAGGAATTCAATATTTAATTTTTATCATGGAAAACATCAAACATATACAAAAATAGAATAGCACAATGAACCCAACACCCAGCTTTAACAATTGCTATGTAACCAATTTTCCCTACTTCTCAATTAAGACAGCAATACATATTTGTTATCTCACACAGTTTCTGTAGGTCAGCATTTCAGGAGTGACTAAAGTGGCTCAGGCTCTGTCCTGAGGCTGCAGTCATCTGAAGCCTTACTTAACTGGGGCTGGAGGATCTGTTCCAAGGTGACTCTCACCTATGGCTGGTAAGATGTTGGCAGGAGGCATCTGTTTCTCGCCACATGGACCTTCCCATAGAGCTGCTGGAGTGTCCTTGCGATGTGGTGGCTGGCTTCCCCCAGAATGAATGATTTGAAAAAGAGTGAGGTGGAAGTTTCCATGGCTTTTATGATATAGCCTTGGGAGACTCACAAGATCATTTCTACCACATTGCATTTGTTAGAAACAGGTCACTGCATCCCTGTAGTGAAGGAAATTGGGCTCCACTTTTAAAGAGAAGAATGTCCAAGTTAGTGAACATTTTAAAAATCAGCACATAACTCATGGGTAACCTCGTTTCAGCTATGTTTCCATTCACTCAAAATAAGCCAAGGACCAAATGGCTTATTTTGAAGAACATTGCAAACATCATTATTATTTCATGTATAAGTACTTCAGTGTGAATTTCTAAAAGATATGCCCTGAAGAAATTTCATAATCACTATACCATTATCACACAAAAAGTTAACAATATAACAATAGTCCTTAATATCCTGTCAGCATTCAAATTTCCTTAATATTCTCTCTCTCTCTCTCTCTCTCTCTCTCTCTTTCTCTCTCTCTCTCTCTCTCTCTCTCTCTCTTCTTTTGGACATCGGACATCTTTACATCTCTCTGCATACCTCCAGATCCTCTCGGACTCACCTGTCTCTTACTTCAGTTGTTGATCACTTCTGCACAGGATCCAGCCAGCTTCACACAGGTGTAGCCTGCTACCTCCTCAGGGATTCCATTTAATGCTATGGTGTGAGATACTGTGGAAATCTGCCTGGCACCCAGGCATGCACAACCCAGGAGTGCCAGGAACTTAACATTCTTTGAGGCAAACTTTGACCAATAGAGACTGAGACACAAAGGACAACTGCTTTTGTTATGGAGTCCAGGGGTTCACTGCTTGGTGTGTTCTACTCAAGAATGAGATGCAGTTGTCAGGTAGTTTTATTTACTTGCAGCAAGTAAAGGAGCCAAGGGATTCACATCCAAAGCTTTGTCTCCCCAAAGGGAGGCTTAGCCATTGCTTATATATACTATTTGGTTCATTAATTTCTTCTTTGCAGTTGGCTACACTTATCAGGTTGGGCTTCTGTCAAGTTCATCCTGTTTAAAGATGCATCTGCAAACTACTGTGCTACATGTTAACATATCTAGCAAAGATAGCATTTATTTGTTTGTTTGTTTGTTTTTAATCCTTACCCGAGGACATGCTTATTGATTTTAGAGTACTGATTTTAGAGAGAGAGATGAAGGTAAAGAGACAAACAGACAGACAAAGAGACATCCATCAGTTGCCTCCTGTACGTGCCCTGACTGGGGATAGAACTCACAACTAGGTATGTGCCTGACCAGGAATCAAAGCTGCAACATTTCAGTGTATGGGATGACGCTCCAACCAACTGAGCCACTTGGTTAGGGCAAGAATAGCATTTAGTAAGAACCACTTAGGCCTTGAAATCCTTGTCCTATCTAATATTTTCCCTTTCATCCCCAGATCAATAGTCTTAAGGCACAGTATATGCAGCTTCTCAGAAGGTCTACAAGCATTAAGGAACCATCCTTAGTGGTGGTCACCTTGATCACGCTTTCTTGTGTTGGCTTTTCCTGCCTCGCTGTTTCACTTAGTGTCCCTCAGTCCTGCTTGCTGAGATTGCACTCCTCAATAGTCTTGGCAGACAGCTTTTCTTTTTTTTTAAAATCAGGTTACGCTTTCTGTGGGACCTAGGCTAAGACACAGCTGGTTCCAAACAAGATCTATACTTTGCATTTGATTGATCTTTTAGTTGTCTCTGATCTATAGGTTCCATGCCCTCCCCCTTCTTTTCCCTTGCAATTATTTGGTTATCATAATAAATTATATTGTTTGTTCTGAGGAGTTTACAACATTCTAGATTTCCCTGATCTCTCTGAGTGTGCTATTTATCATGCTATCTGGTCCCTATATTTCCTAAACTGGTAGTGAGATATAGAATCTTCATCAGATTGAGCTTTGAATTTTTGGCAAGATAACTTCATGGATGGTATTATATACTTCTTATTGCATCAGAATAAGAGATGCAATGTCTGTCTCTTTCTGTGATTTTAAGATTGAGAGGTAGGTTCAGAAGTAGTCATTCCAATCCATCCATTATAAACTCCCCACCAGTCTTTCAGCTAATGATTTTAGCAGCCAAAGATAATCGTGCCCTAGAACTGTGCTATCCAGAAGAACAAAAGCAATTAACCACAATGTGGCCATTTAAATTTAATGAAATTTGAATAAAATTAACAGTTAAATTCTTTAGTCACACTAGCCACATTTTAAGTGTTCATTAGTTAGTGGCTTCTATATTGGACAATGCAAATATAGAATGTTTTCTTCACCACAGAAAGTTATATTAGACAGAGCTAGACCAGGTCATTATTTTATTTAATTCTAATATTCATAATTTCTAGTATTTCATCTTAAATTTATCATCCTTTATACATTTATTAGCTGTAATTGTTCAATAAAGAATAATATCCCCCTATCAACTATTTAGTTAATCCTGAGGTATAATTTATACAGTAAAAGCTGTTAAAATGCTCATTTGCCTTTATTTACCAGTATTGAGAAAAATGAGATGATTCCCTGGCACCCTCCAAAGTGGATTAAGGCTTTTTTTATTGTTTTGAATATCATTATGAACTGATGAATAATGTATTTGAGGTCTTTCGGTTTATTGTAGTTACTATTTTTTTTAAAGATTTTATTTATTTTTAGAGAGAGGGGAAGGGAGGAAGAAAGAGAGGGAGACAAACATCAATGTACAAGAGAAACATCGATTGGTTGTCTCTCGCATGCCCTGAACTGGGGAACTGGGATTCCTAGGCACGTGCCCTGACCAGGAATCAAAGCAGCGACCTTTTGGTTTGCCGGACAACGTCCAACCCACTGAGCCACACCAGTCAGGGCAGTTACCATTCTTTTTGATGCTCAATTTTCCCATATGATAGGTTAGTTTGTATTATGATATTTCATAGGTTTTTTAAAAAAATTTTTCTAATACAAGATGTATGCTTTTTTGGTGCATTTTCTGCCCCAGATTTGGAATCAGACATTTCTTCACATGGTCCTGGTTCCTTTTAGAGAAAAATGAGATTGTGATTCTCAGTGATTTGATTGTTGTTTTTATTTTTATTTTGTTTATTTATTTTTTCCATTGGTTGCCAAATCATCTTTAGTTAAAATATTTTCCTTTGTAGGTCTTCACTAGCGGGGCGTTCCACAGCAGCGCTGTTGATGTCATCTGTGATGTCAGAAGGGTGGCTGCCACCGACATTGCAGCCCACAGACTGGGCAGTCCCCTGGGTCTCTTGAATGGTTCCAGAGAGTTCTCTAGCTAAAGATCGGTGTCACATCTGTCAGGCAATGTTGACCACCTCATCAAAAGATGAAATGATATTGCCACTGTCCTTAATGTTTTTTTGCCTCTTTCTGTTTCGTGGTGGTTCTTTGAGGGCTTTGATGATCAGGGCAGAGGCAGGAGGCACTACCTCGATCTGGGCCTGTCTGTTCTGAATGATCAGTTTCACCGTAATCCTCAGACCCTTCCAGTCACCAGTTGCTTTGGCGATGTCAGCACCAACCTTTTTTGGAGAAAGACCCAGGGGATCGGTCTTGGGGGCCGGGACAGACGTGGCACCGACTTCCCCACTGGTGCACCTCAGGTGTACGACTTTGACCTCATTGGGGTTGAACTTCAGCGGCATGGTGGAGGCGGCTCCTGTCGGGTGAACCTGGATTCGGGCCCTCCAAAGAAAGTTGTACTTTTGCCTCCTCCGAGCCAAAAGCTGAAAGCTTGTTTTTAACTTTTTTATTTTTAAAAAGTATATAGAGCTAGAAAATAATCTCTTTTGTTTTTTTAAAGAAAATACATCGTAGCTTCAACGTGATATTCCAAGTTCGAATTAGGACTACAAAGTTTTGCTTAACTTCTTTGATTTTATGTTTACATCTCTTTTTTCCTAGTCTGAGATCCTTGGTTCCTAAGGTTATCAAAACAAGTACTCATATTCTTTGTCTTTTAATACCTATAATAATTTCTTATTCTGCTGTGCTCATAATGTACTGATTGTTACATATTTTTAATATCACTCGTTGCCATATGACCTTCAAATTCTGTGAATTAATTTTTCTCTGCCTGCATTTCCTCATTTAAAGGGAATTGCTATTTCCTCTATCCATGATTTAATGAACTTGTCAGGCAAGGAACTTGACCTCCCTTTCTGTAGGAGTGGAAAATATCCCCATGCCATGAGGGAATTAATACCCATGGGTGAACTTTGGCCGGTGCAAGATAAGAGACAGAGAGGAACCAGCAAATAATCTTTCTCTTTCACCCCTCAGTGGACTATTCCATGACCTGGTGGGCGTGCATAACATTTTAGGAAGACTCCTGTGTAACTAAGCAACCAGGGATGTTTCTTTGAAGCTGCAGTGAGCCCAGTAATATACCACCTTGAATTTGCTTTATTCCTTCCCTTGTCTCTAACTTTTGTTGCTCTGGATTGTACCTCCCATTAAGACCCTCTTACTCTGTTCTCTAATCCAGGCAAAAACGATTTCCCAGGATCTTCTCCTTCAGAAGGGTGAAGAGCAGTGCTGTGAATTTATGCATTTAATAACCACTCCAAGTGAGTCTTACGATCAGGCAAGTATGGCTGAGACTACCTTAAAACAGCCTCAGGCCTCAGATCTCACATTAGCAGGAAATAAACTACTAAAGCTGTACAAAGTTCAGAAGGGAACCCATCTCAGAAATCCTTTAAATGTGGCCATGGAGGACAATGAACAAAGGGAAGCCACACAGAGAGACGCCCAGAGGCAGCCAGATGGCTGATCAAGGAACACTGCTGCTAAAGCAAAGAGTACTGGGTGCTCCTATATTGCAGGAAAGTGATGTGTGCTGTGAACTGGTGATATTCTCTCTCTCTCTCCTATTCCAAATAGGAATTTTTATTGCATGAAGTTTTCTAACCCTCCTCCAACAGTTGGATGTTTTGTTTTGTTTTCTTTTGTTTTGTTTTGTTTCTGAGTGTTATTTATGTTGTTGGACCACGGGGAGCCGCATCTGGACCTAAATTAGAATGCAGCTCGCTAGCTTACAACTGAAGGAAACCACCGCCCACACTTGCCACGCACACACCCATCCACACCCCACCCTCCACACACACACCCTTCTGCAGCAGACATGGCAGGACCTGAACTATTTCCGTTTGGGGCAGGGGTGTTTTCGTTTGGATGCCCCCACAAACATATCCTGAGACAAGGTATCGACTACAAGTAGTTTATCTGGAGGTAAAGGAAAATGCTGGTATGGAAGTAAAGTGAGAGAGGGAACATAGGGAAGAAATATAAGGTTTATGATCAAGCCAGTTACCACTGTGTACAATTGGAGCTTAATTCCATGGGAAGCTTAGAGCAAAAACATGCACTATAGTGTTACTCCACTATAAAAAGTGAGGGAGCTAGAATGTTCACACATTAACTTCTATCAGTCATTGGTTGAGGGCAGCTTCCAGGGAGGGAGAAATATCAATATTCCTCTGCACTTCTGGCCTGCTGTGTGGGCAACAAAGTAGGGAAAAATCAGAGAAAGCCCTTATGCAAAGTACACATTCTGGCAGCTGAAAGTCGGGCCAGTATGCACTAAAATGGTAAGAGCAAAGGATTTGGAGCAAGGCAATGACAGCATCCACTGAGAAGTGAAACGGTTTCTCTTCAGTTGTGAGCTAGCTGTACAGTGTTACCTGGGTGCATTTTTAAACTTGTACTCATGTATGTGTGAGTGCCGGTCAGTCAAAGAAGTGAAATGCAGACAATATCTGATCCTGCTTTTCAAAATGCCTTTTTCCCATTCCAAATGACTGTGGTGGGACTGTCACTCAAAAGGCCTATTTCCCCTGTTACGAGGCATACCAATGACACAAACAGGCCAATCATGCGAAGTCATCATGGTAGACACCGTTGGAACCCCACTTAGATCTTTTTTACTGGCCAGCCCCTGGCCCCCTGCCTCTCTGAGGACATCCCACACTGAAAGGTAAGGAAATACAAAAGGCGGTTCCCTTGCCTGAAGGGGATGGGGGAGACAACTTTGCAGCGCAACTTATGCTTCAAAGCGCCCCAAAGTATCAGGCTGAACTCAGACTGCACCTGGATCTTCACCTTTGCCTAGTTTCTTCCACGGGCTTATCCTGCTTCCCTCACTCTCTTACAGGTTTTCCTGAGAGCACACCTCGATTAATCAAGTGCAGCCGAATCCCTGTCCCAGGCTCTGCTCCTAGGATGCCCACCCTAAGACCCATTAAGTGGGACACAATGATGGATTGGCCCAGGGGAAAGTACATGGTCCCGGCATGGCGAGTCTTTGGGGGCATTGATATGGATTCTGGGATAAAACAGATCTGTCTCTTTCTAAGGTTATGGGCCACATGTAAAAATATTTTAGTAGATATATGTTTCCTTCCTAACATATATTTCACTCTACTTCTGGTAACAGTATATTCTCCTGGACTAAGAGCATCAAGGATGAGGGGCCATCATGAGGAACCTGAATATAAAGCCAACACAACACAAGATAGGATGCTATGGAGGGAGTGAAATGAGTCCTACCTAGGTGACATTGTTGGAGCTCTTGGTTCCATCACCACTCAGACATTCCTACCTTAGATTACATAGGCTAATGAGTTCTCTTTTTTGGCTTAAGCCAGTTTGGGGTGGGTTTTATAACACTTACAACCCAAACAGTTATGACAGAATCAGTGACGGCAAGCTTGCAGCTGCAGGAGAATACATTGCTGCCATGTGAAGAGACCCTGTGTGACAGCGAAGCCTATTCACAAGAAAGGAAAAATTAGAACTAAGAGATGGGGCGAGGGAAGCAGAGCAGGTGATTGCTATGGGCAATATTCAAGTACCAGGATCCTGTCATTCCTGATACACAGAGCACCTTTCAGTTCTCAATTATCTGGACTAACAAATTCCCTCTTTTTTTTGGTTAAAGGAGTAAGAATTAAGCTTTATCACTTTCTAAGGAAAGAGTTCTGACTTACGCAATACCCTTTTTTCATTTTTCCTGTGAGTCATTTTATTTTTTTCTTATTGAGTTGAAGGCAATCTTTATAGTCTCTGAACATTGACATTTTTTGTCCCCTGTTTGCTGCAAATAACTTATTCTATCACTTATCTTTTCCTTTGCTTATGCTATTTCTCAGGGTTGAAAAGGCTGGGATTTTATGAGGTCTAAGTGAACGAGTTTCACCTTTAACATTTTTGGATTATTAGATATGGTTCTTTTAGTTGAAAGTGATGGCATCCCAACACAATCTAGTTTAAGTTAAAATACAGTACATTGGCTAACAAAATTGGGAATTCTAGACATATTAGGTCCTAAGGTGCAACTAGAATCAACTCCGACTTTGCCATTAGGACCATTTATCTCTCAATCTATCAGCTCTCTGGGCTTCTTTCCCATTGCAGTTCTCTACATCTCTTTTGAAACAGCCCGTATTCTTATACTTTATAGTTCCAAAGGAAAAAAGGCTCTCCTGTGGTTGGGCATAGGAATCCCAGGACATCCTGATGGCCACTACGAGCACTTCAGCAGATACCCGTTATATATCCATTCCTATGTCCGGTGGCTGTATCAGTCATTTCAAATTACTCAGAATGTGCTCCACACAGATTGAAAAAGTTTTGTAATGAAGGATGGAAGAAGGGAAAACTGGTAAGCATTTGATAGCTGCCATACTTATCTCTGTCTTTTTTGTTTCGTTTATGAAAACTTTTCTCTCCCTGAATTATATTTGTATGTATTTATATATACATATATGTATATACATTTCTTTATATATATTTTTAATCTCATGTTCTTTTCCTTTAAAAATTTGTATTTTCATTTTAGAGTTATATTTCATCTAGAATGTATTTTTATTTATGGCATGAAGTAGAAATCTAACTTAATATTTTTCCCATATGTAAAACCTATTGCCTTAAAAACATTTGTTGAATAATCTTTTCCCTACCAGCTGGAAATGCCACACTCATTACAAACTAAATCCTACATTTATGTGGTTCTGTTTCTTGATTATGCATTGTTCCACTGATCTGGTCTTCTATTCCTGAAACAAATCTATGTTGTTCAAATAATAGTTAACTTCACTGGGAAGCTCTACTTTTTCCTTGGTTCTAAATTTCTAACAAGCATGGATCAGACTATGATTCTCTTTAACTCTATCACCATCAATCTGATTTTGTCAAACTTTTTATTTATTCAGTAATTATTTTTTACCAAAGAAACAAATTAAAATTACTTAAAATCTTGTTTAATAGATGTAAAATTTTTTTCTAATCTCTCTAGGAATAGTAATTATAATACACTTTTACAAGTTCGTTTCTGCTCCTTGTCATTGCCTTTGTTTCATGTTCCTTCTTTTTCTGTTTAGGTCTCTGATTATCAGGTTAGCAGCATTCCACATTAGGTGACTTTTGGCCCTCTCTTGATATACACATGAACCAGAGCTTGTGTCTGTAGGTGGAGTGTATTGATTGGGGCCTCATAGTAATGGGCAGGTATCTGGAAGTTTCATTAGCAGATCCCTCAAAATGCCAATTTCTGTAGGTATTTTTCTCTGGGCTGGCCAATTCCTCAAGAGGAGTCTCCTCCTATCATCTACTTGGTGAGAGGGAGCTTGTGAGAATGTAGAATGTGTGAGTAGAAGGAAGAGAGTGGATAGTGGTGGTATCAGCCTAGCTCAGAACACAGATAATACCAGGG